TAACCCTAACCCTAACCCTAACCCTAACCCTAACCCTAACCCTAACCCTAGTTGTTGCCCTAATCCTAACCCTAACCCTAACCCTAACCCTAATTCTAACCCTAACCCTAACCCTAGGGCCTAACCCTAACCCTAACCCTAACCCTAACCCTAACCCTAACCCTAACCCTAACCCTAACCCTAACCCTAACCCTAACCCTAACCCTAACCCTAACCCTAACCCTAACCCTAACCCTAACCCTAACCCTAACCCTAACCCTAACCCTAACCCTAACCCTAACCCGAACCCTAACCCTAACCCTAACCCTAACCCTAACCCTAACCCTAACCGTAACCCTAACCCTAACCCTAACCCTAACCCTAACCCTAACCCTAACCCTAACCGGACCCTAACCCTAACCCTAACCCTAACCCTAACCCTAACCCTAACCCTAACCCTAACCCTAACCCTAACCCTAACCCTAACCCTAACCCTAACCCTAACCCTAACCCTAACCCTAACCCTAACCCTAACCCTAACCCTAACCCTAACCCTAACCCTAACCCTAACCCTAACCCTAACCCTAACCCTAACCCTAACCCTAACCCTAACCCTAACCCTAACCCTAACCCTAACCCTAACCCTAACCCTAACCCTAACCCTAACCCTAACCCTAACCCTAACCCTAACCCTAACCCTAACCCTAACCCTAACCCTAACCCTAACCCTAACCCTAACCCTAACCCTAACCCTAACCCTAACCCTAACCCTAACCCTAACCCTAACCCTAACCCTAACCCTAACCCTAACCCTAACCCTAACCCTAACCCTAACCCTAACCCTAACCCTAACCCTAACCCTAACCCTAACCCTAACCCTAACCCTAACCCTAACCCTAACCCTAACCCTAACCCTAACCCTAACCCTAACCCTAACCCTAACCCTAACCCTAACCCTAACCCTAACCCTAACCCTAACCCTAACCCTAACCCTAACCCTAACCCTAACCCTAACCCTAACCCTAACCCTAACCCTAACCCTAACCCTAACCCTAACCCTAACCCTAACCCTAACCCTAACCCTAACCCTAACCCTAACCCTAACCCTAACCCTAACCCTAACCCTAACCCTAACCCTAAAAGGACCTAGACCCTAGGCCCTAACCCTAGGCCCTAACCCTAGTCTTTCGGGGCCTTTGTGTTGTATATACATCTCAAGGCAGAACGCCCCGTCAGAGCCACACACACACATATATTACGGTCACCCCAGCGGCACCTCAGCGCCACCCTCAGGTCCACATGTCAGAGCAGTTATCACAAAGGCGGAGGGCCTCGGGCAGCTTCACTGAGGCGGTGGTGGTGGTGGACGGGGGACCTGGCGCGGGGGAATGAAGCCACCCCGGCCCGCCGACGCCCGTGGGCCGAGCGGATGCGGGGCGTTGGGGGCGGGGGCGGCATTGCCACACTCTGGCAAGGGCTTGCCAGCACTTGGCAAGGGCTTGCCACACTCTGGCAAGGGCTTGCCACCACGTGGTAAGGGCTTGCCACACTCTGGCAAGGGCTTGCCAGCACTTGGCAAGGGCTTGCCACACTCTCCGTAGCGGCGCTGGCGGCCCCTGCGAGCCAGCCGGCGCCGCGAGTGTATAGGCCAAGGAGATGCGGGGTTTCCCGGTTAGATCGTCGCTACAGCTTAAACAGACGTCAGATCCGGCCCGGCCGGGCCCAGACAGCCTTTTGTTTGCACAAAAAGAGCCTAGGGAGGGCAGAAACAACGACAGTACACATTGAGGAGGCCGAGAGGTGAGAGCCCAGTGTGCGGCACCAGAGCCGGGAGGTGCGCGCGGTCGGTCGTGGGGGAGCGCAATGCGATGGCCTGAGCGAGGACGCCTCTGTGCGCCCGCGCGTTAGCCATGTCTGGTGAACGCGTCCTGTTGAGTGGTGGGATGTCGTGTGTGTGGGTGTTCGCCACCTATATGCTCTATCCTGCGGCAAGACGGACGTGTTTTGACAATCAAAATCTACCTCAAAATTTGCGGCCGCCCAACCTCGAAATTTGCTGATCAAAATTTGCGGTGGCCCGGATCGAAACCTGTGGTTTGGCCAATCGAGGGCACCCCACCGTTCTTGGGACGCGCTGGCGCTCGCCAGCGATCGTCCCCCCACCCATCCACCCTTTTTTCTCTTGAGGCTGTCCCAGGGCAGCACCATGATATAACGTGAAATAGTGCGAGCTCGCGACACTCACCCGACCCACCATGCCCTCGCGAGAGAGATCTCGCGCCGCGCGCGCTCGCACACGCCGCCCGAGAGCACTCCCACCCCCGCCGCCCTCGCAAGCTCACAGGTTGATTTGAGGAGAAGCAAATGGGGGAGGTCAAAGCTGGAGCTGCGGGAGAAGGCGGCACGGCGGCGGCGGCGCGGCGCCCCCCCCATCCCCATCCGCCTCCGGGCGAGAGTCCCCCCAGCGTCTGCTCTCCAGCAGACGCTCCGGTAATCAGGCCGAGAGTACCAGGGAGGAGAGGGGAGAAGAGCCCAGGGAGGGGAGAGGAGAAGAGCCCAGGGAGGGGGGAGGAGAAGAGCCCAAGGCGGCCTCCCTCTCCCTCCCCTCCCACCGGGCCTCCCTCTCCCTCTCCTCCCACCGGGCCTCCCTCTCCCCCGCTCCTCCCGCCAAGCACCGACAGTCTCGAGGGGCCAGCCGCTGGAGGGGGCACGCCAGCGGCACGAGGGCTTCAGCCACACAGCTACCAAGGGAACGCGACCCACACAAAGCACCAAAGTTAGGCATACCCCCCAGCGCAGTGTCCCCTGCGCCAACGACGCCTGTGGTGGCTCACTGTCTTCTTGTTTCCAGTCGTCCCAGTCTTTCAGTTCCCCGCGTCTCCTCCTTGCCTCGCGCGCCTCTTTTGCGACCTCATCCCTAGCCGCTTTGCACGCTCTGCATCCCCAGAACGCACTCACTTGGAGCACTTGGAGTGCAGTCAGCACCTAGGATTTTTTTCCGGGGGGGCTGGATCGTTATCGCGACGCTCTCGGAGTGTGGACGCGTATAGCGTGTATGCCGGACAAGGCTAGCACGAGCGCCGCCTCGGCTCCCACCCCTCCAAAGCACTTGCAGAGCACCTCGGTCCTCGACGTGGATGCCGCTCTCGACGCCATCGGCTGCGGCTCCTTCCACTTTTGGACTGTCACCGCCATCAGCCTCTTTGTCGTGGCACAGTCGATCCAGACGAACCTGCTCGCCTTTCTGCCGCCGT